TTCATCCCATTGAAAATGGCAGTCTAAGAACAAGGGCCATCTCTTTTGTTGTCTCCAGTATAATTCTGGCAGCTGAAGAATGTGTAATCCAACTTATAGTCAAATTGCATATGTTAGCACTAACCCTAACTTTTCTTCAGATCAGTTGGTATGCAGGCTTAGAGTCCAGGCTCAGAAGACCTTTCACAACTTACTGGTTTATTTATAAAGAAGAATGAGCCCAGTTTCTGGCATTGTATCTCCCCTGGATGAACAGCTTACTAGTATTCATTGAGTCAAACTGGACTTTACTTCCAAATTAAATCCCTGTGCAAAGTCAAGAGACTAAGGAAAATATACATTAGCATATGTAGAGTATAGAAATGCTGCCTGCCCCCATATTCCAGGGGTTAGATTTCACAGCAAACCTCTGAGAGTCTATAAGGCATAGATTAATAGAACATTGGTGAGCAGGTAGCCTGCGGAGAGGACTACATATGCTTGTTTGTAGTTGACACATCACTCATCATCCCAGAATGAAGAGCTTTGATTTCAGAGCTGCAATCCCCCGGCTGCATATGAATGTGGATGCAGTAGGGAGCCTGCTTACCTAGGGGATGTGCTGCTGGCTGATTTATAATAAAAGGAACCTGAAAAGAAGTAATTGGTGCTCTTTCCCACAACCCGATAAGCTGTGACACCGAGATACACAGTGGCATTGAATTAAGCATGTTTGTCTATTTTTCAATGTTAAACTTTAATTTCTCCATCTTTTAGCTTCTTAGGGCTTTTAAACAATGCTAAGTATTTTAAAATTATGCTTAGCCCTACAGTCTTAATCATTATAAATTCTGCGTTAAGGAAAAGGCAAGTAGAAAAATATTAAGACAATGTATTTACACATTATTCGAATTGATTTTTAATTTATAATTCCTAAATTAAATGTTACTTAAAGATGTTCTGTCAGAGAACTAAAGGAAATATATTTTACTTATTTTTGTCAGTCAACTGTTTGTAAGATCTGTCTATTTAATTTCTAAATGTATATAACATGCAATTTGCAATGGCTTGTTTTTTGAGCCAAGCGCTTCATTACAATTTACATATTAAAGGAAATCTACAATATACTTCTTTTTTGAGATTTTCACAAATGATAGAGATAGTTGGTAGAAAAAGAGAGGAGTAAGTTTCCATCACTGTCTACATAAAAATATCTAAGCATTTGAAAAGTTGACAGCAGAAATCATATTCATTTGTTTACAATTGGGTACCAGCTCATGGCCTAGCACACACATAGTAGGTATTCAATAAATATTTGGTGAATGAATGCATCTCTGAAGCATTGAATTAGGATAATATGCATGTACCTAAGTTTGTATTCTCCTGACCCAAAAGAAGTAAATGTAGGTTAATTTGGGATTGCATCTCTCTTGGCTTATTAGGCACCAATCAGAGCTTCAACTTCCTAATACAAAGACAGCATTTTCTCCTAATGATATACAAAGTAATTCCTGTAGTCTACCTGTTGACAGTCCTATCATCACATAACATAATAGGGTAAGAACACTTGGGATGATTAGATAGATAATGAAATAAAACAATCCACTTCTCTATTAGAATTCCCTTTTTCTATGCTACAAATAAAATAACAAAGAGTTGTTTGCAAACACAATTGGTGTGTTTTCAAGAAACCTTTGTTAAATATCTTCCTGATTAAAGACATTATGCCAGGCCCTGAATAACAGAGATGAATAAAACAGAGCCTCTACTTGTGAAACAGGCAGACTGATAGATACTATTACTTCAAGTATAATTTGAGGTTTCATTTGAAGTCATCTTTGACTAAGTGCATTTTCCCAAGAGAGAATTAAGCTTTCCATAAACTTGAGGTTATCTTTACCCTTTTAGAAATCAAACTTTATAGACAAGAGATACCTGCATTTTTTCATAATGGTAAGACTGTGCTGATGACCTTCTTTTAATTAACTATTCTCTTTTATTAGGCACATAAAACTATTCTATAGAGCAATTTCTGCTTCTTTATTATTAGTGATAATGATTGCAATGTCTTTTGCCTTCAATGGCAATTTTGCTTCAAAGGGAATTGCACATAAAAGATCAAAGAGAGACCAGAAATTGATATGAATTTTTTTAACTCTCCTAGAGTATCAACTTTTTAAAACATTATTGTTTTTAGCCTTTCTGGTGCCCTGTAGCAGATCTCCCAGAGAGGCTCTGGTTAACACTGAGCATTCCAATGACTGCTGCCGTCATTGCTGAGGTTCACACCTAAACAAATAAACAAAATAAACCCCAGAGGACTTGTGCATCTCAAGCAAACAGCCTGTCACTTGCTCCATGCAAAAGAAACAGAGCATGTGGGAAGCTGGGTTTTAAAGGGCACTGCTAACAAGAGGAGGGAGAAATGTCAAAACTGTTGAACACTGGACTCATTCCTGTTCTGTGTTTTTCATGTTGAGTTTTGTTTTTTTTCTTCAGATCTTAAAAATCCTACATGCTATGCCATTTCCTTTATTCCCAATGAGCAGAAAAGGAAACAAATAAGAGTTATAATAGTAACAGCAATAGCAAATATTTCTCGAACTGCAGCAGGAATAGAAAATAGGAAGTAAACAATTCCACAGTGGAAGGAAGATAAGAAAGAATTCTTGTCCTTTCCTAGTAGTGATTATTGAGTCTTAAATAAGTGGGTGCTTATGGATAAATGAGTATAGAAAGGCATTTTCAGCCAAGGGAATAATATGAGCAACATCCTGGTGTCCACTAACGTGAACAGAGTTCAATACAGCTGAAGCATAGGTTTAAAGGCTGAAGTGGGACAAAATTGATGAGCATAGTGAACAGTAAGACCTGAGAGCTAGCCAGGGACAAGATCAAGGAGAATGAAGAAGTCAATTCTCCAACCTAGAGAAAAGTGTATTTAGATTGACAGGAGATGGGCTGTCCTGAGCTGCAGTAAGATTATGCATTAGACAGAGCGTTTTCAAGGGGACACTGTTCAGATTGTTAACATTTGCTAACTTATCTGAGAACACACTGGTGGCATGGCTTTCAGGCATCCTGATTGAGTAGAAAATCAACCAGGAGAGACCACCAATCCACAATTATGCACAAAAGCAGAAGAGCATACAGGAACACTATACCACACACACAGGGGAAAACAACTGTACCCTATCAGAAGAAAGCTCTAGGAGTCCCAGTCACTTCTCTCACCTAACTCCGGAAGTTATACAAGCTTATCTCACCTGGCAGGAAGAGAGGTGGGCAAGCAGAGTGAGTGTGCTGCCCAGACTTTGCTCTAGTGCTAGGAAGCGGAGTGGCCAGCAGTACGACAGTAGGTCCATTGGTTTGTGTGCATGCGGTGGGACCGCTCCACATTAGGTTTTGAAAAGATTCCTAGGAGGATCTTAACCTATTGTCAAATACATGGCCCTCACAGCAGGACATTGCCATGTTTTCTAGCCAATGTTGTATGAAGAAGCTCAATTTATGGAACTCTCTTAAGCTACAATCTACTGTGCAAATCCCAGCACTAGTGCTCAATGCACTCCTCTAGACATGAGGGCCTGTCAGGAGTCGCCTACCGCTGGCTGGAGGAGGCAGCCAGCTGTCAACAATTGCACTTTCCCCAGCATCTATACTTTACAAGTTGTGTAACTGAGGAAGTTTTTTTTTTTTTCTTCAGAATTCACAAAAGGTGCTTTGGAGGTTGGCGGCAGCTATGGTCCTATTAGAGATCATAAGAGCCTGGCACAATGGGGAGAGAAAAGAAGGCTTTCAGAAGAGTTAAAGGTAGATTCTGCAGAACTTAGTGGCTAATTGAAAGCAATGAGAAGAGCTCAGCGTACAGGTTTCTGGCACGAGAGCCTGGGTACAGAGAAAATCCATTCTCAGAAATAAGGGAGAGTTTATAACATGGAGACCTGGAGGAGACAGAGGGGGGGGGGGGTCTCAGTAACAGCTCTTTAGCAGGCAATTAACCTAGGAGCCATATAAGTGCAGGTTGAAACTATGAACACTGGCAAAGCTGGAGCTCAGGAAAGGGGGCGGGAAAATGGGGGTGTTCAATGGAATTTGAGATGTAGCCAGAAATGAAACAAGAGAAGAGAAACCTAGAAATTTTCAACAGATAGAAAATAGTCAAGCTTTAATTGAAGTCAAGTAAAATGAGGAATAAAGTGAGAATATGGAATTTAGAAACTAGTAGATCAATAGTAGCCTTTTTTCAAAGCCATTTGTTAAAGCAGTGAAGAAAGAATCTTGAATGCAGTGGGCTGAGAGCATTGGGGTAAGAGGGAATGGGGACAATGCTGCAAATAATTATTTTGAATAGGTCACCTATGAAGGGAGGGCAGGGATGTGATGGTAGGAATTCAGAAATGGTGATAGAATTACAATTGTGTTTTGTTTTGCTTTCAAATGGACAGGGAAGAATGAATAAAAGGAGTTGGTTACAAAGATAGCTGAAAGAGAGGGAATAAAGGCTCAGACCAAGTTGTAACCCTACAAAGAGCTAAGTAAATGGCTCAGTGGGGAGAGTACTGAACTTGGCGTTAGAAAAATCAGATTTTGAACACTATTTCCATTCTATATTATCTTTGTCATATTATCTCTTTAGTTCTCAGTGTTCATTTCTGGGAGCTGGGATACTAAGATCTACACCACAGTGGGTTGAAAGGACTGAGTGAGGGTACTGTGGGAGAATGTCTGGTGCAGTGGTGTGGTGTGTGGCTAATAAATGGTACTTTGAGTCATTATCCTATCAAAGGCCTGAATGGGGAGACCATCAATGTAATCACTTCTCACTTTTTTTTTTTTTTTTACTATTTTTGTTCATATAATTTTTATTTCTCTAGGAATTTGGTGACAGTCTCTGCTAGTCTGTTCTTCCCTTATATGAAGGAAAGACCAAAGACCCAGCTTGGAAATGAGAGAGGAAGTTTAGTGGGCAACGTTGGCTCCATCCACTGATATCTCCTACAGGAACAGAAACAGGACTCATGAAGATGTTGACAAGACTTCAAGTTCTTACCTTAGCTTTGTTTTCAAAGGGATTTTTACTCTCTTTAGGGGATCATAACTTTATAAGAAGGGAGATTAAAATAGAAGGTGACCTCGTTTTAGGGGGCCTATTTCCTATTAATGAAAAAGGCACCGGAATTGAAGAATGTGGGCGAATCAATGAAGACCGAGGGATTCAACGCCTGGAAGCCATGTTGTTTGCTATTGATGAAATCAACAAAGATAATTACTTGCTACCAGGAGTGAAGCTGGGTGTCCACATTTTGGATACATGCTCAAGGGATACCTATGCATTAGAGCAATCACTGGAATTTGTCAGGGCATCTTTGACTAAAGTGGATGAAGCTGAACATATGTGTCCTGATGGATCCCCTGCCATTCAAGAAAATAGCCCACTGCTCATTGCAGGGGTCATTGGTGGCTCTTACAGCAGTGTTTCCATACAGGTAAGACTGTCCAGAGCTACTGTTAAAATGTTGTGTCTCTCATTTTACATCTTGTCAAACAAGAGACTAGCATCATAACTGGATCAATGGGTGATATTAACGGTATCATTGTTCATATCTATGGGTATTTGATAATATAGGTGTGCAGACAGAACAGTTGTCTAACAATGAAAATTGTTTAGACACATATCAGGTAGCTATTGCAGCATAACAACCTATCCCAAAATCCATGACTTAAAACAATAATTCATTATTATAGTTTCTAAGTCTAAAGATCAACAAAAGTAGTTGGGTCAAAGTTGAGTCAGCTAGCAGTGACCCTGCCCCAGGTTGTCCCTTATCCTCTGACTAGAATCAGTGAGGTAGCCCAGGCATAGTCTTCTCAGAGTGTTAACAGAAGTGCAAGTGAACACAAACTTAACAGCCCAGGCCCCTCTAAGCTTCTTTTTGCATCACATCTGCTAACATCCCACTATCAAAGCAACTCACAGGCCTCAGCCCAGAGTCAAGGAGTAGGGAAATATGTCCTGCCCACAGGACATGTTACATCACAAAGGATGTGGGTATATAATGGAGCAAAGAACTGAAGCCATTAATATAATCAACCACAAGAAGATTCAATATCGCTGAACTCTATTTTTTTCACTCTCATTTTTACTAAAGCATCATTTTGTTCAGAGATAATTTATAAACAATTTCTTGTGATATAAGCCTGATAATCTATGCAGAAAAGTGAGATGACTACCAAAAATAAAAGGAATAATTCAGTTCCCAACTTAGATAAAAAGCTGGTAAGAGGCTCTAAAAATTTCATTAAAGAAAAAAGGAACACATTATTCAAATTTTGCAATGCTCACCTATTCAACTTTCTCATTTTTCCAATCCCCAGAAAGATTGATTTCATAAAATTCCCACTGGTAAGTAGCTCAAGAGCTAGGACTCTGATAAATCCTTTATACTTTGGGGATCTTTCAATTGTCCCATATGATTTCTATATGTTACCTGAAGTTCAATTTTTTTCTGGTGAGAGCATTCATGTCACAGTAATAAAAAGTCATAATTCTAGGAGTCATATACTTTACTTCCTACCAAATTACTATAATCAAAGCCCCAAGTACTAGAGAAAGCCATATTATACTCATGCTGTCTTCATATGTCATGAACCACTTAAATTGGCTTTATTTGCACAGGAATAACCTTATTTCTATATCCCAGATTCATGGCATTTAAAATTCTATGTACAATTTCATGCTGTTCAAAAATGAGCTATTTGAAATTTCTTTCCTTCTTCAGAGCACATCCTCATATTATGAGTAATTAAGATAATTAATTTTTCAAAAACACCCTTTGACTTCATTAGACAATGAAAATATTGCACATTTCAAAGCATTTAATGGTAATTTTACATTTTTTCTATACTTGGATCAAGAGAGATGGCACTTGCTATTTGAGATAAGAGAATTAAAAAATATCCATCTGTCATACTTCAATAATAATTTCACCAGGTATGTGCCAATCATTTTACAAATATTTATACTATGCCTAATATTACCACTGGTAAGGGATTATGTATATGTCAGTGTGAAGTGTGCAGGTGGCAGTTTGTCAATAATTCTCTCTCATCGATATTTCTATCTCTCCCCCCCTCTTTTCCTCTCTCTAAAATGAATTACATACATATAAAGTTGTTGAGAGGATAAATTGAGAGAATTTTTGGGAAATGCCTTACCAAAGCCCAAAAGATTCAATAAATGGTCCTGAAATTATAGGAAAAGTCAGTGGAAGAGCCACAACTAAAACCAGCTCCATGGTGTGCCATCTCAGTGGCCCAGCAGTCCCATGAAGTCATCAAGGGTCCCCCACATACTTCAATCTTCATGAAGGTCACTGTTGCAAGAGTCAGGGAGACCACTAACGTAGAGTACACAGCCTTCATACAACGTAACTTAAAATCTGGCTATGGGTACAATACTGCTATAAAATAACAGTGACTACAATTCAGAATATGTTCATGTGGCTCACAAGGTAAGATGATGCTTAGAAAAGCTTCAAGGATGACTGATAGAGTGACAGTTGCATTGCAGAAAGGCTACTTGGGTCACAGTGTGAATGAGGTGCTGGCTGTGAGGAGGAGGATCAGGACATTGTGGCAAGTATGCATGTGCTATGGACAGTGACCCTGACAGGAGTAAGAAGGTGGGCTGAAGAGGGAGGATAGAAGAGAGACTCACTCCCTCCTCCATGGTCCCCAGGTGTCCTGACTATTCAGTTTTGATTAGGCCATACACTGGTCCCAGCCAAGGTAAGCTGGGAGGTGAAGCAATTTGTCTATACAGTGACCTTCAGGTTGTCTTCCAAGGAACCCTTTCCCACAAAGTCTTGCATTCAGCTGGGCATCATGAATAAAAGAGGTCTTAGGGGATTTTTATACAGCTAATAATTCAAGGTGTTATCCTTTTGAAACACATCTGCCTTTTCATAAGAATTCTAGAAAAATAGTCAATGGCAATCCAAACCATTTCTAACAGTAAATTTAAGGCACTGTTGTACACTAATGAGGGAACATTTTAACAGAGAGGATTTTTCAAGGTACCTCTCACACTCACCTCTTTCTGCTCCTGGCCCAGTTCTGATTATACACCTCTGTGTCTAGGAATTGTGATGACAGCATGTAGCTCATAGTCTCAAAGATCCATGCACATCAGTCAAAACTATCACTTTTTTTAACCTACTTTTTATTTCCTGGATATTTACTGGAAAGTGTTGTTGCTTGAACTGAGCAGGGGAGAAAAAGGGTAAAATTATAGAAGAAATGTATTCTACAAATCCACCACACAATTTTAAAAATTGCTATTATCTAATTGTAGCATCCAGTCCCAAACCAGGTCATAGAGTGTTCAGTCACAACACTGCCCGTTGAGAGATAGAAAATGATAATATTTGTGCATCTTCCCTTTTGTGGTTGGGCCAGTTAGATGTTATAATCTCCCAACTCGGGCCATATTTCTTCAGAAGGTGCTTTCTTTCCAGCTTCCTCTTCTTTCATTATCTTCCCACTAAAGGAGAAGAATTCTCCTGGAAGCCAGTAGAGATATGACCCGCTGTGTGAGTTCATATAATAGGCATTCTTTGTAGATAACAAAAACTACATGAAAGGAGACATTCTTAGTGATTTGCTGGGTTAAGCTGTATCACCACTGATGAATAATGGATAATTATTTTCCCAATCTTCTTAGTAAGACAAACCACTCTGTGGTGGTCCCTTTTATAAAGCAACAGTCTTGATTCCTTGACTTGATAATCAATGAAAGCTAGCATCAAAATCCTTCTTTGTTAGCAAATTACATGGGGTCTATCCACCCTCTCGAGTGAATGAATTTCTTTTCAAAACATTTTTAAGACTGTTTTTCTCTTTTCTATAAGCTTTCAATCCACCCAGTTCAGGGAAAATGGTTTTGATTCAAGAAGAGACTCAGGCTGGTTGCCTTTAGCTGAGCAGTTGTCCATGAGGTACTTATTTTGCAGCTGTGTTTAAATTTGTGCTTTTAAAAAATAGACTGTAGTTAGAGGTCCTAAGTTGTCCAGTCTAAAATGTTCTTTGAAATGTTTCTAAAAATGTCCCTCACTCTTTTCAGAAGATGTATCTTTTTTTCATAGCTGGAGCAAATTCTAGCTGGAACATGACAGGTATAAATTGACCTAGTTATTATTGTGTCCCTTAGTGTTACAGTGACTTCAGCGACAAATGGGAATCTGGGTCAGATGGCCTCTCAAAGCTAAGCTCATAGTAAAGGCAGGAGAGATCCCTAAAATGATCTTACTACCTCTTCCCACCCATGGTATAATCAGACCCTGTTATAGAATATTTGGTAGTATTCATATCCCAGGAACTCTCTAACCCTGGGAGAAGAGTTATAGTATTCTTTATTATGACATAGATTTGGACATGCCATGCATTGCTCACATTATGCCTCTGAGAAAAATAACTCTTGAAATGAAATCCCTTGCAGTGTTACAGAGAACAACACATCAAGACCCTTTAGATTATTCCTCCTCCACCTAATTCCATAGTATGAAAGTGGACCACCACTGGTCAATTTATATTAAGCATCATTCTCCCTCAATTATTCATTCTCCTTTAAATTCAAATGCTTTGGGGAAGTGTCATACATGAATTATTGGTCTTATTATTGGCAAATCAGAAAAATGGTTAAAGGACTTGGAAGTACAAAGCCTTCAATATAGTTAGTTGTGTCCAAGTATCAAACAGTCAGATGAAAGGAAAAAAATGTATATTTTTGTGGATAAATAAATTAGATCTAGGGCAGAGTTTCTCAACCTTGACACTAGTGGGATAGGTAATTCTTTGTTGTGTGAAGTGGCCCTGTGCATTGTGGGTGGATTAACAGCATCACTGACATCTACCTACTAGACTAGATCTCATCAGCACCTCAAATTGTGACATCCAATAATATTTCCACACATTGCCAAATTACAAGTTACCCCCTTTTCCATTGGCAAACTGGTTGAGAGCAAAATACAGTTAGAATCAATATAAGGAAGAGTTCTTAGAAATGAAATAGAATAATCTGGAAGGGAGGGGATAGGAAGGAATTCCTCAGTCACTGAAGTTATTCAAACAAAAGCTGTCCTATTATTGAGGAAATTGAAGCAATATACCAGTGTTTGAACTACAAATGTTCCTTGACTTTTGATGGAGTTACATCTTGATAAACTATCATAAGCTGAAAATATTGTAATTCGAAAATGCATTTAATATACCTAACTTACCAAACACCATAGCTTCCTGGAACTGACCTTAAACATGCTCAGAGCACTTACAGGAGCCTACAGTTGGGCAAAATCATCTCAGTGCCGCTGTCCAACAATCATGAGAAAGTATATCATACTGCATATGGCTAGCCATAGAAAATGTCAACATTTAAGGAACAGATTATACTGAATGGGCATCACTTTTTCACCTTTATATAGTGGAAATG